AATTGGTTTTTGGCACTACGTTTCCTGCTGTATTTTTAGTTAGGAAGTAAAATCTTGGGGATGATGTTTCGGTTTTTCCAAGGGTTCATTTCATTCAAAGCAAATTAGTCAGAGGATCACAACCAGTATAAATCCATCATCATTGTGAGTGCCCTTGATCTCCGACACCACCGTGCTGAATCCTGAGATAAATCTTCATGCCAGAATTCTATTATTTAGAAGTACAATACAAACAACAATGGGAGATGACATCAGGACAGCGAGGACATTGCACATTTCTTCCTTGCGTATCAGAAGAAGCTAACTTCCGCTCATCACTGGCCAACACGGCAGTCCCCCAGCCTGCAAAATATCTGGTTGGCTCCAACATGAATAATCTTCCCGTCCTCTTGGGAAAATTCTTTTTTTCATTCCATGGCTCCAGAAAGACTGTTGGCATAGGCACACAAACACCTTCTGGAGATGGCATGGAAATATCATTCAGTGAGTTGGGACAGATAAGGATGTGTTTTCACACTTGTGGGTAAGTAGACATTGCTTGGAGTGCCTCGATCCCCTCTGTCAACACGTCCTTCCTCAGCTCTTAGCCTGTGGCTTATTTAAAGACATTACAGGGAGTATTGGTTATGGGGTGGTTGGGGGGTGCAATTAGGTAGAAGAAATTGGCAAGAGTGCGATACAGATAAAACTGAAGAGATGAGGCAAAGCAAGAGGAAACATCTGGAGCAGCTGGCTGAAGTCACTTTAGGCTCCTCGCCCGAAGTGGCTCGGTACTGACTCTTCTTCATTGTTGGCCTGTTATCCCGTTTTTCCTCCTATTGCAGATTTCTCTAAAAACAAATAGGTGAAAAGCAAACATCGCCATTTGCTTTTAAGGTTCACAAGATGTGCTCTCAAATCTCACAGGCAGATCCTGCTTCCATAACTCACGACTAGCTGGGGTTCTGACTTGGGCTGCTCCTCACAACACTGAACTTGAGGAATACAGAGCAGAGGAACTAGCCAGGGTCTTCCCGAGTCACTCGTGCCTCATCACAAAGCCAGGAGAAAGCCTTGCGACCGTGTTTTTCGGGTCTGACTAGGCTGGTTGCCTTTTACTTTCAGGAGACGGTACATTTATCCAGAATGTTCAGAGAAAGGAGTAGTTTATATTTTTTAAGACTGTGGTTTTATTGCAGTAACAGTGCTTAAATTGAGATCTTCCCTATTAACGAATATTTAAGAGTATAATACAGTACTGTTAACTATAGGTACAATATTGTACAGCAGATCTCTAGAAGTTATTCATTTTGTTTCATCGAAATGTTAAGCCCAGTGATTTGTAACTCTCTATATGTTCCCCACTGCTTCCTGCCCTTCGCCCCTGGCAGCCATGAGCCCTCTCTTTGATTTTATGAATTTGGCTATTGTAGATACCTCATCTAAGTGAAATCATGCAGGATTTATCTGTCTGTGACAGCTTATTTCAACTAGCATAATGTCCTCAAGATCCATGTATGTCACTTGGAATATGGATGTTGAAACCAATAGGATCCAGTAAGACCCGGTGAATCCCAAAGCCTTCTGAACTGAGGTGGCCCATTCATGCTCACCTGGAGATGGTTCTGAGTCACGCAGAGCAGCAGGGCTCTGGTTTGAACCCTCAATCACTGTGGAGCAATTCTGGGGAAGTAGGAAATTTAGCTAACACCTTATAGACATTGTTTAGAAAACAAATTTTAGGTGTCTTTTTGCTTTGTCATTGTTTTACTTTCTTGAAAATGAAAAATGTAGATATTTTTGTGACTCTTATCTCTTCTCTCCAATTCAGCTACAGATTTCTGTGGACATTTCAATCTTCATATGTCCAAGACTTAGCTCTTTGGCAACTAAATTAATTAAGTGGACTCTTTATGAAAAGCAGAATAAGTAAAAGAATTTCAGTTTCAAACAATAGCTCATTACACTTAATTATATGTGGAGCCAAGATGAAATTTATATCTATACATCCTTTCCCATTATATTTTCAGGGAACTTTCTTGCAAAATGTATACTACTCCACAAAAAATTGCTATTCATAAATTATCTAATCAAATCATGTCTCAGCAAATTGTCAACTCTTCTATGTCATTGCAATGTTAGTGTGTTTAAAAGACCCTGAATTAAATGAGTAATTAGCGTATACTTGAAAATTTTTTCTGGATATCAGAGATATTAACTTTAGTAGTATGTGTTGTGATAGCTCTTACCTGAATTTTTCCTTTGGACAAATGCCATTTTTGTAGAATATCATTCTGTAAAAACAGATTTTATTTTTTTAAGGAAAATTTAATGATGTGACTAACATGGGTATATGTTTTTCTTTTTTTTCTTTTTATTTCATCATATTATGATTATCATTTATTTCATCATATTATAACCCTATATTGATAGGGTTAAAACTATGGTGCTCAAATATGTTTCTCTTTAATGGATCAAAATGCTCAGAAGTTACACTCGTATTAAATAACTATTACTTTATCTTCTTTTTCTGGAAGTCACATTCATTTTAGAAACTGGTACTTTTACTAATATATTCAGAAATGGGGAGAAATTGTGGAAATAGAAGAACAGGCTGACTAGGAGTCCATTAGGACTGATGATATAACACCCTCCGGGTAGACAATCTCCACCCCAAATTCACCAGTGGACTAGGACTTCAAGTTACACAACCCATATTAATTAAGAGCTACTAATTATTGAGCTAGGACCATGTTCCTCAATAATTTTTAAGAGTGTGTAATGCAGACCAGACAGTTTGAGAACTGCAGCATTAAATTAGACTGCCTTCCACAGATGGAAGCTACTCCAATTTCAGATTTCAAGTAGCCCAGTAAAAAAAAAAAAATGATTACCAAACAAAGGACATCTTGTTAATAAAGTATCAAGAAAAAAAAAAAAAGCAAGGTTTTTGTTGTATTTAATAGGGTGGGAATTCTTCATTTCAAGGTTGGAGAGAAATGGTGGGTCAGTTCCCAGACATGGTCTTCAAGCAGATGTTCAGTGAATCCTGGGGACATCTATCCAAACTGTCCCCAGCAGCACTTCGACCTGGGACTTCCCTTTGAGGTCAAATGGAAATTTGTCTCCTTCGTGGGACACAGTGTAAAGCTTAAAGGCCTGGTTAAGGATCTAGAGTCAGACTGCCTGGTTTCAAATCCTAGATCACCAGCTATGAAACCACAGGCAAGTTATACTTATCCTCTCGGAAACTATTTCCTCATCTATAAAATGTGTCTAATGATAATTATGTTATAGCATTATTGTGAAAATTGAATGCGATGATGCTTCTCAAAAGTGAATGAAGTAAAAACCATTTACAATGTTCAGCACACAACCCCCAGCACGTAGTAAACACTCAACACATTTCAGTTATCATTACTGTTATTTTGTGGTTTGTTGGTAGCTAAACAGACTCCTCCATGAAGTCTCATTTTTTTTCTCCTAAACCTCACTCAGGTTTCAGTGACCAGTTGGTTCTTTCCTTGGCAAGGAATTAATTCTTCCTCTTCTATCACATTTTTAGCAACAAAGTGATTTAAAATAATCAGGAAACTTTTCAAGAGGCAGCTCAGCTGGTTGTGTCTTCCTTTTGAGGAGCCATCTGTCAACGATGGTGATTCTGGAGAAGATAGAAATTGCAGACCTTGCTCTTCGACCTGTCTCTGCTGGGAACCATGTGTGTGGCCTAAAGCAGATCGTGTTTGCCTGGGAGCCTCGTTTTCCTCTGTGAGAAGGGAAGAGGTGTCACTCCAAGGTTTATAAAGATGCTTGCAACATTGCCATTCTATGACTATATATTTTTAGATGTGAGCATTATTTCCTCCCTGAAAAAGCAACAGAATATCCAATGCCTTCATGGCTTTATGCTATGATATTATATTTAAATAAAATAGAGTGAATTTTGCAAACAACAATTATAAGTATTACAAAATATCAACATAAATGTTTTGTTCTTTATGTTTTCCAGGTAAAACACAGATTTTAATATGTGCATGGTGTTTTATCCATTTTCTTGAGCATTTCTGATTTATCATAGGAACATAATCTAATCCTAGACTGATTTCCCTAAGGGATTAGTCAACACTTATTTTAATGCCTTTTAAATCTTTGGGTTCATAAAATCTTACATCTTTCAATTTAAATCAAATCTTGATTTCCTGGAAATCCTGGTTAATGTCAACAATCCCTTGAGTCCTTAAAGAGTAGCTGATAACTCATGGAAATATTTGAAGCAGATTAATTCTTAGTGATCATGGCTTTCCTACATGGAAAGCAATATATTTTTAGCTTTGTTTATTTACACTTTTTAATGAGGAAAACAAAAACAAACTTTTCAGTTAGTCAGTCATCAAATATTTATTGATCACTTTCTGTTGTATGGTGCTCCAATATTAACAGGCTAATTTATTCATTTTAGCAATCTCTTGAATCTAAATGGCGTTAATCACTCCTTTGTTTTTTTCTCTACTCTGTTGTTTATTTAGAGATTGCATTTATACTTATTCATCCATAAATGCTCCTCAGTGCATTTCCCTTCCAGTTTTCTTACCAAGCTGTCCAAAAATGTAATGGTGAATAAGATATTAAAATATATATGTATTAAAGCATATACATTTAGTATATACATTAAATATAAAGCACATATTTGGTATATATGAGTATATATACACTATATATATTCATATGTATATACCTGCTTACCTGTTATATTTTAAGACTAAAATAAGAAAGGACTATGTTGTCTTTCATTTGTGTTATCATGTCCTCCCTCCCATCTCTACTAAAATAATGTTTTGTACATTGGGAGAGGCACAGCTGTCGCTGACTTATTGCTGCCATTTTGGATAATGGAGTACCAGTGCTACATTAGTTATAGATCAGGTTCCGTCTAATCTATGACATTTGAATGGAAGTTCTTGTGACATCAGCCAGGCACAATGGGGTGGTTAAAATTTACAGTCATCACCATTATCGTCATCAACATTTTCATCAATCAAGTATAACAACCTGGGAACTCCCTGGGTGGACTATTCTAAGGTGACCCTTGAGCCTGTCTCATTCACTTGTGTTCCTCTACTCGGGGAGGAGGTTGGGAGAGAAGACGGTGGAGAAAAGACAGCCCCACAGCCAGGCCTCTTCTCCATAGATTTTAAAAATATCCTCTAAAGCTCCTCCTTTAAGAATTGGCAGAGACCTGGAAGATGAGGGGCAAGGAGAAAATATATAAAGACACAGAAAAGAATGGATTTGCAAAGCAAAACGGAGCCCATTCTGAGAACCCTAAGGAAGAACAGCTCGAGGGGGTGAAGACAAGAGGAGGAAAGGTCTGGAGGGGAACCTGGGACAGACCCTACCCTGGGGACTGACCCGCAGTTTCTGGGGTGGGAGGACGAGGGATGGCATAAGTCGCAAAGGTGATTGTGCAGGCGCTGTCCCAGTCTGGGGGTCCCAGAGTTGACCAACACTCAAAATGAGAATTCTGTGGAGTAATTACACCACCACACCCTTAAAAATCTTATTTTAGGCCTGTAGCATTCTCCCATCCAGACTTTTACATAATTTTAAATAGAAGCTGGACCTAAAATTGTATAAAAAATATTTAGGGATTTTTGATTTGCTGCTTATGAAATTGAAGCCACAGACATGAAAAGCCCATTTAGTTAGGAATTGTCTACATGGCCACCTACCGTCAACCAGGCAGTGTACCTCCCAGCCCCAGTCGGATGACTCCACAGAGAAGGGCAGACAATCTGCCAGGATGCAAACTCTCCCAAGGGGAAGTAGCATTAGTCTAAGGGCTTATTCACCCCACAAATGGGCAGCATCCCTTTGACCTGAGACATTGCCAACCTTTTCCCACCACGCCTTGCGAACCAAGTGAACTGTGGTTTTTCGATGGACAACAGCTTTGTTGTCAAAGCCCGGTTTTAAAGGCAGCATCAGAAGATGCAACGATTCTTGGCTGATGAGCTATACTGGCTCCTCCCTTTTAATTGAAAATAGAGGTTTCAGAGCATTCTTGCTTTCCCTAAAGGATTACATCACAAAATGTAGCATGCATCAGAATTTCCAGGGCTGCTTGTTGAAATTTGAGATTTTGTTTGGAATTCCTGCCCTCCCATCTTCTCCTCTCCCCGAGCTATTGATTCCTCAGGTCTCGAATGGGTCCAGGAATCAAATCCTTCTAGGTGATTTTGATGCCACTGGTCTAAACACTAAGAGAAATATCGTCGAAATGGGCCCAGTAGATGTTTTAATGCCATAGCATCTCTTAATGTTTGCCACATTTTAGGCTTTTGGGGTCTATAAAACTTAATCCGAGGAAGTAAGAATCTTTACCATAGACACTAAAGTCTCATGTCAATTTCAAAGAACGCGCACACACACACACACACACACACACACACACACACACTTAGAAAGAGATTGGGGCAAAGGATAAACTATTCAGAGTCTCTTCAACTTGGGCCCCCTGTGCCTAAGTGTTTTGACTCATCTCTGTCTGCACTGGTGTTATGGGGATATGGAAAATGTCGGGCGCCGGGACACGGTAGCTTGCCGCCTCCCGTCGCTCTGCATCTCCTGGAGCCAGTTGGAGGGCACGCTGCTGGGGCCAGGCCCGGTGGCAGAAAGCAGCCGGGGGCCACACGTGCTGGAATGCCCCCAGGCCCCTGTGTGCTGCCTGTTTCCAGCCATGCTGCTTGCGTGATCCTGATTGGGTAATTTTTGAATCCCACTGTTTTTGATTGGATGTTAAAGGTTGTTGTTGATTGGATGTTAAAGGTTGTTGTTGATTGGATGTTAAAGGTTGTTGTTGATTGGATGTTAAAGCTTGTAGTTGATTGGATGCTTTTTGAGCCCTACCAAGGGTATAAAAGCAGGAGGAGAACAGGGCAGAAGGGGCGGAAGGGTCAGAAGATTGGAAAACAGGAAGAGAGATGTAATACTAGGTGTGCTGAGCCTGCTGTGGAAGAATAAAGGCTGTTCTCCAATTCTTCGTGTGCCACTTGGTTGTTTTCCCAGTCAAGAGCTGTAACACTAGCTGTACACGTTGCCGCAACAATGGCATGAGAAATACACCTCCGTAAGTGATATCCTATATAAGGGAAATTAGAGTATTCATGCCCAGGCATGCAACCATGTTAATAATGCAAAGTGACGTCGAAAGGGAGTAGCATGACTCTTTCTGTTAATTGGAGGTAAACAAATCCATTTGCATTGGAAAGGATGAGTTTTTCTGAAGACAAATGTATCTATAAAATCGACTCCTTGGTATTCCCTGAATTCATTCAGACTCACTCCTATACGCTTGGATTCCTCCAACAATACAAGAAGGAGGCTGCCAACACTTCTGGCCTCCATCTCTTTGGGCCCCAGTTCTCCAGGCTCTTTGTGGTCAAAGCTGAGGGCTCACCAGCGAGGAGCAGCTGGGGTCACTGCCCACGCGAGTGAGACCAGGGAGCACGCCCACCGCTGTCTTCCAGAGCTAGGAAAGCGCCTGGAGCACAATAGGCTCTTGATCAATATTTGTTGAAGGAATTAACTCCCTGATACGTTGGTGGTTCATGTTCTTTTAACATAAAGCATTTAGGTTTTGTTTTTTTTAAATCTTTGAACAAAAAAAAAAACAGATTTGACTTTTTAAAATACTATTCTAAATTTTCTCCATATCTCTGTTGGTAAAGACATGGATGTTTTCCTATTGTTGTAATCGAATGTGTGCTAAGTTGTTTCGAGAATCTGAGTTTGCTCAGAAATGTTCTGTGTGGGCTCCAGGAGACATTTCCTTCCTTCCGCCACTCATGGCTGCTTCTCCCACCTCCAGCACCCAAAGCCTCTCTCCTTCTGATTCCCAGCAGTTCCGTGTCCCCCTGCCCACTCTCTGTGGCTTCCCCAAAGCTCCTCAGCTAAAACAAAACTCCAGAGAATGAAGAGGGAAGAGCTCGTTTCCGTTGCCCTAGGGCTGCCTGACTGAAAATTTTTCTTGGGTAAATTTACTAAAATGATTTTGTAGCCCTTTCCTCTTCCTCTATTGCTCTCCTCAGCTCACCCTCCACTCCCCAAAACACATACACACACACTCCAGAGTTGCCTGAGACAAACCCTAATTAATGCCCTCTGGGAGTGTCCCCCAATCTTTCTCTTTCCTTCAGAAACATTCCTTTCTGACTTTGAGATATAAAAACTAAGTTTCCAGCCAGGCGCGGTGGCTCACGCCTGTAATCCTAGCACTCTGGGAGGCTGAGGCGGGCGGATTGCTCGAGGTCAGGAGTTCAAAACCAGCCTGAGCAAGAGCGAGACCCGTCTCTACTATAAATAGAAAGAAATTAATTAGCCAACTAATATATATATAGAAAAAAATTAGTGGGGCATGGTGGCGCATGCCTGTAGTCCCAGCTACCTGGGAGGCTGAGGCAGAAGGATTGCTTGAGCCCAGGAGATTGAGGTTGCTGTGAGCTAGGCTGACGCCACGGCACTCACTCTAGCCTGGGCAACAAAGTGAGACTCTGTCTCAAAAAAACATAAACAACAAAAACTAAGTTTCCTATCTTCTTAGCTATGGTTCCTTTCTAGTCTTCATTTTTTATTTAACGTGGCCTTAAATTCAAAATGGTCCACACTATATTCCTTTAAAAAGAAAAGAAAAACTAGCAGAGAAACATGTTTAGATTGTATCGTTTTTTAATCTTCCTTAGTAGTTATTTCCATCCCACGTGACTTTAACAGGTCCTGTTTTGAACCTTGCCCTACGGCTGTCGCAGCTGTCCAGAAGGCCCCGCAGTGTCCCCGTGGTGGTAAAAACAATCGAACGTGGCTCCAAATTTGCCTGTTTAAGAAGGACAGAAGTCGCCGTGTATTTATCAGCCAGGGCAAGAAAGCATCCGGGTAAACGTAGCTCATCTAGGTAAGCCAGAAAACTAGAACTTTCTAAATTGCAATTTGGTAGTTGACTAATAATGCAAAAATCCCGTAATAACCAAAAGGATCAGGCCTGCTGCCTCCTATTGTTCTCTGCTGTCTGTGCTTTCACTCCCTTGATTCTTTTCTCTCCGACCTGTGAGTGAATTGAAGTGGTCGACGACATACTACACAAGTACAAGAGATGACAACAATCATCATAGCTTTCTTCTAGAAAATAATATTGTAAAATCAAGCATGCATTTTTTTCCTTTTTCCTCTTCCTTTTTCTCTTTTCCTTACCCCATAATTTCAAAGATGCATTATCTTCATTTCTAACAGACAAAGGCCTGGAAAAACTCCCTCTCTTAGTTTAGCTGTCTGTCTCATTTCAGAGAATCTTAAAGGTGAAACGGATTTCAAGAGCTCATCTAGTGCATTGATTCTCAAACGTGGTTTTGTTGGACCCACAAGAAAAGAGATTCTGATTGTATAAGCTGGGATGGAATTTAGGGACGTGTTCACTTAAAAAGCCCCAGAGTTGCTCTGCTCTCCGGCCAACATGGGCAAATCTAGTCCAAATGCCTTTTTTTTCCCCCAGGAACTTGGGGCCCTTGGGGCTTAGTTGCTTTTTTGGGTTTCTTTAATTTTTTTTTGTTTTGATTTTTTTTTTTATTATTCAACAGATATTTATCACGTGCCTACTGTGTGCTCTGCTGTATATTAGGCAATGACAGTAGGAAGACAAATCAGACCTAGACTTTGTCCTCAATCACCCTATCTAGTCAAAGCAAGTAATCATCAAATGATTAAATGAGTCCATGCATATTAAAAGCATTTGCAAACTATAAAATGTTATGCAGATACGATGTGTAATTATCGCTCTCTCTCCACTTAAACTCTGGGATGTTATGTGAAGTAAATATTCCTGCATTGGTTTTTCTTTTCGGGAAACAGTGGTCACTGTTGTAACATATGACAGAGCAACCTAAGGATTCCACATCATTAATCTGGAAAGACTGATAAGTTACTTCTGTGTATGCGCTGAATTATCAGCCAGAAACCACCATGGTCCTATCTCAGTTGACTGATATATATTTTTTTTCTTTTTTTTTTTTCTCATCAATATGAGAGGAGGGCAAACTAAAAGCCTGTGGACTTCAGCTTTTCCAGACAATTCTGCTGCCCCTCTGCAGAAAACATAACAACAGCCACTTTGTATGGTGTTGAGATTCTGAGCATCCGTTTCATTTCTGACAACAAGTCAATGTTTTTGCTGAGCCCTGTCCCCTCAACTGCCCCCTTCTGCTAACCCTTGTGCCTGTGGGTACAGCAGGCACTCCTCTGCAGGCCCCAGGGATTGAGCTAGACGGGACTTAATTCCTTTTCCACTCCCTTAGCTAGCGCTGGTGCATTTACTCCCTGATAGAGTGCTCTAGAAGATTAGCAAGGGCATTCATTTTCCGCTAACTGCACACAAACACCGTGAGCCGACTCCGGGGCTCACTGATGCCTCAGACAATTCTGTTTTCCAAGTTTACTTTTCACTCCTCTGTGTCTTTTCTTGTGCCATTTGGCACGGGGTCTCAACTGTGTAGAAAACTAACTTTGGGATTTTTTTTTTTACATTCATATTCAGATTCTCTTGTTTCCCATGTGGGGCGGAATTTTACTAACAGGTGCTTAAACAGCATTTTAAAGTTAAGAACAAATAATTGAAGGGAAACGCTTTGTGGCCAGAGCCATCGTGCTAATAAGGGGGGAAGGGGTTAAGGATATTATACTTTGTAGTGCATCACTAACATTTCGAGAACAGCACCCTAAAGGATGATGATCATCCTTTTCCACAAATTGTCATTCAGTCTTATTTTCTAGGAATAATCTTGACCTGGGTGGACCACGAATCTCACTTAAAACGGCCTGGGACGTGCTCGTGTGCATGAAAGAACACAGACTCTAATATAGGCTTGATGTCCCCAGCGGAGAATTACTTCTGGGTTTATAATGTTCAGTTACCCAACGAATTAGCCTGACTCATTTCTTTATTCTCCTCTGTATCAGGGATGAATTAAATGTAAATGACATTACCTGGGACTAGGACATGGTGGAAACTGTAACCTCGTGACAAGGAATCCCTTCATGGCATTTTAATCATGCATTTCCTCTTGGAGCCTGATTCTGGAAGGAGGTGATGCTCCTCGTTGACAAATCCTCCAGACCATCGCTCTCTCTCGGAGACAAAGCCTTATCTCAGGTTTGCTCTCAGACACTGTGTATCACGCATCCGTGGTCATCTGTCAAGCTCTCTTCCTGTTTACTGCCTTAAAGCGGGTGAATGGTTCACCGAACAAAGGCAGTCCCCGAAGGCCAAGGAGTGTGCAACACACTAATAAATATTCAAGCCAATGTCTTTCAAATGTTATTGTGAATCATCTTTCCCTCCTTCCTTCCCATGGTTCAGTCATCTTGCTGGCTCCGAATTGTCACCTTTTGTCTCCGGCCTCAGCTGCCTTCGGTTTAGTGCCTATGACTGCAATGGTCTTTGTCTCCTTTACCCGCTTCACTGTGTCTCATTTTCCTAAAGTAGCTGGCGCCCACTTTTCCACAACATTGTTCCTTTGTTCCAGGAAAAAAATAATTTTTGGAGGCAGCAGAAACAACAGTTCCAAAGGCCACAGGGTGACATCCTCTCTCACCTGATCTTTATTCATATCTGGGTTTTAATTGCATTTTTTTTTCCATTTCTCAAGCACCGTACACCTCCCTTCCTCCCTTCCTTCCTCCCTGACAGGAAGGAGCATTTTATTTCTCATTCAAAACGCTTTCCTACTGATCTCTATGCTTCAGAAGCTCCGGAGGCCCCTGTTACCTGTTGGTTTTTCTCATGTTGGTTGATCTGTTGGCCTTGCTGTAGTTTATCACCCCCTTTTCAACCTCTTTTTTTCCCCCCTTCCTCTTCCCGAACTTAGGCCAGAACTTACAACCTGCTGTCTTTTCTCATCTTCACTCTCATTATCTTCAGACTGAATCTTCCCAAAATGGATTTTTTTTTTTTTTTTTTTTTTTTACCAAGCCCGTCCTCTTTAAAGAAACAAAGAAGAGAATTATGTGATGGTTTCCACTGTCGTACCGTCTGTGGCTTTGTTTGAGCGAGAGCTTCACATCCAAAGCTAAACCTTGACTTAACACACAAACTCAATTGACGAGAGGAGTACCCATGTTCAAGCCCACCAATTGGCCGAGGACACAATCAGAGGGTTATTGGCAGGTATCTTCTTATCTCCGTGGTGCACTGAAAAAACTCAATTCATTAAAATAATAAAAAAAAGATCTTGGTCCCTCATGTGAGCGGCATGTGATTTTCCATGAACGTTCGGCTCAGAAGGCATCGTGCCTATTATACATTCCATTTATAAATCAAACACCCTTCGTCCTGCGGCTGCACGCTGGCATGTCAGCGAGGTTTGGGTCAGGCGCACACACTTCCACGTGAACAGCAGATGAAGGCAAAGAGACAGGGAAGCGGCTCTTTTTTCCCCCCCTTTTCCACCAGTAATAGGCAGCTCGAACGTTAAAATTGGGCTGAGACTCCAAAACCAAAGTCCCATGAACCATAGAAGCAAAGAGACTTGAGATGAAAGACAGGATCTGTCTGTTCTCTCGGATCCTTCACCTTTCTTTCTCTCCCCTTCATCATGTTCATTGGAAAGTAAAGTATGTGCATGTGTGTGTGAATTAAAGAATATGTCTAGGAAAAGATGGGCTTAAAAAATCTAGCCCAAGAAAGACTTTGGTTTCGAAAACCTGTGAAGGTGGTTTGGGCCTAGGACTCTAGGGTTTTGTCCATGCCCAGAAGTGAGAACAGAAAGGGGACTTTCAGGTTGCCAATCAGAAAGCCACAGAGGGTCCCGCTGAGTAGCTCCACCATGAAGGCAACACGTGCCGAGTCAGCCCGGCCATGTTTTAAAGTCGCATTGCGATTCCTCGCTGCATAGGGGACTAGTTTTATCTTGTGGCCTTCCATCTGTGTCAAATGTGCAATTTACCAAGAGTCACTAAGGAGAAGATTTCATTAAGAGAATTAATTTCCTACAGAACAAGGTATGTCAAAATTTTTCCAATCATTGTTCCCTCGTCCACATTCCTACCAGCCATAACCCTCTTTCTCTTTTGTCATGAGCCATAGAAAACAAAATTGGAGGGAAGGGGAAGGAGAAGAACTCTACTTGCAACTTGTCCTTCCTTTGGACCTTGTTATCTACTGTGCTAGGTAAGAACCAGAGGGGAAATGAGTTGAAGGGATCTAGAAAGATAATAACAAAAAATGCAAGCCTGTGAAATTATACATTATCATTGGTAAATGGTCACATTTCATGGATATCAATCCCATGTACAAATGAGGGACAGCCAAAAAGGGAAAGGAGATATTGCAAAATAGTAGTAATATAATTTTTTTACCTATTTTTTTTCATATGTTATGTCCTAAGACTTATGGATCTCCCTGTTCTCCAGACTTTAAGAAATATAAAATAAATAATTCAGTAAAACCTCCTGAAAAGGAAAAAGAGTGAAGATGATTAAGGTGGAATACCACTAGTTGTTTTCCTTGAAACAATAAAATATTGTCAAAACAAATAGGCCATAGCATGGTAAACTAATAGGACTTATCACCAACATCTCCCTCCCAAAGGTCAGATCTAAAGTAATGGTCTAGAATTCAGCTAGATTTGAGGAAAAATCAGTTGTGTCAGAAATGTTTCATCGAGGGGTTTGGTTGTCATGCAGAACAGTCTCTTTCAACCTTTGGTTAATATTCAAATTAACATTTAGGATAGTTTACAAAAAATTTAGATTGTAGACAGATTGAGCAAAATATTGAGGGCCAGGGTCCAGGCAGGTGAATTTGAAAAAACTAAAATTCTCAAATAATTCTAATGTCTATCAGAAGTGGAAAAACATTGAGATAGTGATTTGGTCCATGTACAATTTAAGGGTCTTTAAATAATAAATAATATGCGATTGTTTAAACGAATAGTTGTCACTCCATATTATTTTTTCTGGTAACAGGAATGAATCTGTGTTGTTCACCTGGTTTCTCATGATGGTACAGTATTTTCCAGGGGTGGTTGAACTGATAAGAGAAAAGCTAACTGTCTTCTATCTGTAGGTCAACTCTCCCCTAGTAGCCCAAAGACCATACTGCCTGGATTTTGCCAGTAACAAAATGAGCACAGTGTAGCCTGCCTGGGTTTGGCATAACTTTTATTATTAGAGGCAATGTTTATTATTGCTTTCATTAAATACAGTAACTAAGTTGAGGATATTTTTCATGGTGTATAATGTACACCCACTGAGCATTTTTATGTTAGAGTCTGACATTGTTTTTTAGGGCAATTTCTAATTCTTTCACTGAGTACAGAGGACTTATGTCTTTCAAGGTAGATATTCGTCTGATTTTCCAAAGTCAGCTTCTGCCTTGGTTGGCAAGATCACAGGGTGCATAAAACAAGAAGTGATAGGTGCAGTGGGATAAAAATCTAATGGATTAATATTTAAGGTAGTTAATTTGCTTAGAAGCAGCGTTTAGGAAATATATGCCCCATTAGCTCACAAATGTGTTGCAACCAGTTAAGGAATGTTTATCCCTAGAATATCATGCTATATATAAGTTACTAGCATAGAATTGCAATATTAATAATGTTCCTTACTTTAAAAAATTGCATGTGCTGTTTACCCAAATGTTTTCTTTGTCTAGTAATTTCTCTACTCAGTTCTTTAAGTCCTTGTTTGCCAACTTACTGCATATACTGCTATCCGGAGCTTTATCAAAAAGTCACAGTTAGTTCATGCTGTGATTTAATCTAGGAATAAAGCACTTAGATAAATGCATATGCTCAGAATCACACAATATTGTAACTGCGAGATGCCTTAGAGAGCTCCTAGTCTAAACCTTTCCATTAACAAGTGAGAAAACCAAAGCACAGAGCCGTGAGACGATTCAGACAGCCAAGATGGAATAAGAATCAAGTCTCTTAACTCATGGTCAGTGCTTTTCTCATTAAATCATGCTGCCCCGATAGTTCCTAATTAACGGGATTCGGTTTAATTAAAAAATGAGAGATGCTAACTCTTGACTAATAAATCTGATCTGTCAGTTTACAACCAACCTACGATGTGAGCAGAGGAAGGTAATAAATTGCAAGGGTTGCAGGTTAATCTGTGCAGTATATGAAGGACTGTGGAGCTCCTTCTTTGGGGCTGGTTAAAAGAACAACCAGTCATAATTACTGACATGCAAAGAGGTGGAAATCATTCTAACTATAAATGTCTTCATTAATAAGACATTAATAATTAGAGATAGAAAGTTTTTCATTTCTACATACTTTGGGTAAGATGAGATCAGAACCAAACACAAAAATTCACTTTCAGTACAACACAGGAGATATCTTAGTTTAGTATAACTCTGTAAGAGTAATAGATCTATAGTGTACTTTAAATCTCATCTTGTGTATTATGTCTGCCACTAGGAAATTATTCCTGAAGTCTTTTTGAGTGTCAAATAAGACTAGTAAATTTCGATATAGTTTACTAAGAACAGAAAATTATGCTAGCAATCCTCATGTTGCCACTGATTTATTGTAAATTTAAATTTCATATTTATCAAAGTTATACATGCATAGCCTAAAATGTCAAATAATTCAAAGGCTTCCTTAAAAAGAAAGGATTCCCTGACCCCAAATCTACTGTCCAGAAGCAGTATCTCTCAATTCTATTAGCTATTTATTTTATGGTAATATTATCTTTCAATAACATGATTACTTGAACAAGATGAGTTTTCAAGATTAGGTATCAGCAATGGCCTTCTCACCTTATAAATTAAGGATTTAATTTACAAATTAAATCCTTTAATCCTTAAATCCTAATTTATAAATTAAATCCACTGCCCTCATCATCATCACATATACATATGATTTTTATATACAGACAGCCCTCTGCATCTACAGATTCAACCAACCACAGATCAAATATGCTTCCAAATATACTTTGGAAAAAACAATAAAAATCATGATACAACAACAAAAAAATAAAAAATATATATAGTATAGCAACTATTTATATAGCATTTATATTGTATTAAGTATTATAAGAAATATGATTTAAATTATATAGAATGTGCCTAGGTTATATGAGGATGTACCTAGGTTATATATAAATGCCATGCCATTTTATATGAGGGATTTGAGCATCTGTGGATTTGGTACCTGCAGGGTGTCCTGGAACCAATCTCCTTCAGATACTGAGAGACTACTGTATATATGTATGTCATATGCATATATATATCAGATGCATATTTATTCATATATATATCATATACATATATTATATACATATTTGTACATATATATATCATATACATATTTGTTGAACTCATCACCATCATATATATGTATATTTTCCCCCCCTCTATTCTCCCAATATAGTTACATTTTAATTGGGGGTTAGTTCACATTCAGTGTTTATAGTATTATTACTGTTTATCCTAATCTAAATGAGCAACTTTACCAATTTGATTCTAAGGCTTTTCTTCCATATTTTAACATCTCTGAAAACAGGATATGTCTTTCAATTGCTATTAGCCAGACAGTCGTTGTAATATAGTTGTCATTGCATATGTACATGTTTGATCAAAACTACTGATAGTGTCATCACTTCAGTTAAGCTCATGCATGGTTGGCACTACACATGTTGAGTTTAATTGCCACGTAAAATATCTTCAAAAATAATGGGCATTAAAATAAGATGCTATCGTATACATAGGCAAACAACAAGAGAGCACTAATTTTTGTAGTAAATATTGTAGTAAATTTTGTAGTAAATATTTGATATTGGAGGAAAGATAGTAATTCAATATCTTTTCAATTATGCTTTTTTGCAAAGCATAATCAATGCTTTATGAAATCTAAGAAAAAAGATATTCACAAATAGATGAAACTATGTTATGTTGGTTAACGAGACTATAGAAAGGATTCCCTATTACAGCTAATGGAAATGAAGATAGGAAAATTCACCAAATCCCTCAGTATAGGTGGGAGAAATTTCAAAGCAACAAGAGACTGATGTGACTGACTCATCCATCACACCGTACTAACATTTAGTCATTGTGTCACTAGGTGATTGCTGAGATTTTTCTTACTT